TACGGCTAGGGTGGGGGCCCATTGTCCACCAGACAAACGCCCTCAAAAGGCTGCTCTGGTTTCTCCTATTTTGCAATTAAGAAAAGCGTCTCAGAGACTGATAGTAACTCGCCCGATGCCACACAGCTGGGAAAGATAAATACTGAGGTCAGGATTCAGATTTCAGGGTCCACACCCTGTGAGCCGGGACCTCACTTGACAGAGAGCTAGGATCTGCTCCCCAGTCCTGCGCCAGCTTTGGGGCACCGGTGCCTTCACCCCTCTTTCACGGATGAGCAAGCTGAAGCTGGAAGTAGCTGCAGAAGTTTCCGAAACGCGGAGAGGAAATGTCACTCCACTGTGCCTTCTACTCTCCGGGTCCTATTGTGCCTAAATGTACAGCCCGTGCTTCGCCGCCAGCGGAGGTCCGGGTGTGGCTCTAAGGGACAGCAGAGTTTTGGTCTAACACTGTAATTAATATTGGGGAATGCTAGAGGCCCCTGGAGAAAACAGGGTAGTGTAGTGTGGATGGCCATGCAGAAGTAGAGGGTGGTCCCACTGGCCTCACCGCAGCCCCACCTACTGGCAGAACTCAGTAGAAGAACCCCGTAGGTCACACAATTTGTAAGTGCCTGGGATGATCCAACTTCACAGGCTTTCCCTTCTCCTCCACAAACACTGTCTGCCCCAGGGCCTTTGCCCATGCTCCTCCCCTGCAGGAAGCTCTTTCTGCCTGCACTGCCTCAGCACCCATCTCAAAGGCTCCTCCCTAAGCCTCGTAGGTCATTCCCTCTCTCGCTTTCCATTCTCTCCCTGCCACGCCACACTACCCTGTTTTATTTCCTTCCTAGCATCCAGCCTGCATATTAATCATGCATATCTTCCCTTCAGGCATGTGGCCTGCAGTCCCCAACACAATGAGCCTCCCTGCAGCTCCATCTTGTTCTCTCACCTTAGTGCTGGCCCGGAAGCTGCATCTCTGAGCAAGCGCTGAGAGGCTGGGTCACTGTCCCAGGAGCCGGCCCCACTTACCCTCAAGTCACTGTTTCCTTCAGCTCTTCTGGCCCGTTTCCTAGGCAGTTTCAACCATGAGTCTATTCTTTCTTTAGGGCTGTCATAGCAACCACTTTACTGCCCCACATCCTGGGGCTAGGCCCCTTCAGAACCTGCCAGGAAGGACCCTTTGTTGTCTTGCTCAGCTTCTTGGGGAGGACCCTTCGTTGTCTTGCTCAGATTCTTTACAGCCCTGCAACTCTGCTGTGACTGTCTTCAATGCTGTCCTCTTCCTAGGAAGTGTTTCCCTTAAGGCACTGGGCTCTATCTCTTCTCCAGTCCACCGGAAAGGGCCCACTTAATGGCCTGATCACAATGAACCTAGTTCCCAAAGGCCCCACTCCCAAGCAGGATGTGTCTCACTTAGCTTCTGTCACTGGGACACAATAGCTGACACTCGAAAGTTAAAGGAGAGGTGTATTTGGGGTTCTACTGCAGTCCAAAGTGGGCTGGCTCTAGGGCTGCATGGGGCACAGCACACATGGGACAGGAAGAGACAGCACAGGGAGCAGATGGAAAGATAAGCCCTTGGGGCCTCACCCTTCTCTTTGTACCTCACCTCGAGTGAGAGATACCCACTTCCTAACTTCCCATACCTCACTTCCTAACTGCAAAGCAGCCTCAGGCCCCACAATCCATTCGCCACCCCAAAGCCCTGCCTGTAAGTGCAGGAGGCTTAGGGGACCGGGAGAGCTAAACCAACCACAACAGCAGGAGCCTCCATCCATGGCACCTCAGAAGCAACTCGTAAAATACTGAAACAACTTTGGTGAAAGCAATACCAGTGAAGCTGTGGTGAATAAAGGAGCTGTCCCCTTTTTGGTGCAAATGTAAACTAGCACAACCATCACGGAGCTCAGCATGGAGATTTCTCAAAGAACTGAACCTGGAAATTCCATATGACCCTGCTACCTTCCTCCGGTGTCTTCTCCAAAGAGATTAAGACATTGCACTACAGCAATGCCATTTACAGGAGCACACTGGTAGGAAAATGGGTGTACCTGGAAAATATGAGGCTGAGTGAAATTAGCCAGACACAAGCTTAAACATCAGTGGGTATCTCTCACTCGAGGTGAGGTACAAAGAGAAGGGAGCAAGATGCATAGAAGGGACAAGGATCGCTTGCAATAGGGAAGGGGTCCAAGGGAACATGGGTGAGAGGCGAGGATAAGAAAAGTAAGCGCAACAAACATGTGCCAGGGGCCTAGAGACTGCACTGAATGTAAACTCGGTGCCACAACAGGAGCTAAGATGAATCATATCAAGAAGAATGAAAATTGGGAATTACACGAGGAGGGAGAGAGGAAAGGAGAGGAGGGGATTTAAAAAGAACCAAGTTGGAGCATGTTCATATACCCACTCCCCAAGATGATTGTAAACTTCGTGTACTGTAAACAGATACAATTTTAAATGTTAAAAAATACAAAGATAAAACAAGACTTTAAGGGACTGATGCTGGAGGGTGGGGAAGGGCACGCGAAGGGCGAGATATGGACAGTGTGCTGTGGTTTGCATTTCCAGATGAGCAGTCTCCTCCTCCAGAAACTTGGGGGGGAAGAACACTTCCATTATCTGGCTTCTGTCCTTGCCAGATCCCCTTCCAGGATGCAAATGTCCCATTTCCAGACCTGCGAAAAATGATCTCACTGAATTTGGGCTTCTAAGAAATGCAAGAGTAGGTTTTTGGTTGCTTCTGAGAAACTGCCACCCGCTTTTCCTTGTTACACGTTGATGCCCCCTCCCTCAGGAAGAAGATCCTATGAGTGACTTTTTCATTTAAAAAAAAAAAACAAAAAACAAAAAACTGAGACAAACAAGAGAACAGGCTTGCAGCTTGTGTGTGTGAGAACTGAGATTTGTAACAGCTGTTTACTCCAGAGAGGCTCAGGAATCACCTTTCATCAATTCTATGTGACCAGAGTGCAGAACCGTGACCCAGCAGTGGAAATTACCACTAGTGGTCAAAAAGTGAGCTACAATGTAGAGAAAATTTTCCCTAAACCACAGACTTCCAATAGATTCTCCAATACGTGGAATTAACTTTGTTTCCTGATTTGGCTCCTCTAACGCAGGAGGTTTGCAGGTGGGGACCAACTCAGATTGTCAGCGCCCTCCCACTCCTGGGGAAGACTCTGCAGCTGTGTGCTCTGAGAAGTCATCAGTGTTCCGAGCCCTTGGACACAAAGCTCCTTTATCCAGACAAGGCCCAGAGGACTGCATGAGCAGCAGGCATTCTCTGCCTCCACCTTTCAAGAGCAGAGGTCTTTGCCATGGCTGGAGCTGTTGCTGATCTCCACTGACCCTTGGGCACTGCGCGCCCTACATCTCCTGTGCCCAGTGTCCAGGCTTGCTGGCCTCTTGCCACCGAGAGAGACAACCTTGATCCAGCCCCTCCTAGAGCCTTGAACCAAACTTCAGCCATGAATTAACTGCTGGGAAATCTGCTCTTTGCAGTGATGCTGTTGTTCCACAATCCGGGCCTGGTCTTCCTGAACCACGGAACCCTGGCCAGGGGGCTGCCTTCTTTACTCACAGCAGCCGTACTTTAGGGCCCTCCTTCTCCACGAAGACCGTGGGTAAGCGCCTGAGTGGACAGCCCCCCCACTAACTGCCCCCCAAATTCTACTGGATCCAGGAAACAGGAAAGCCACCTAGGCACTGAAGGAGCTCGCACGTCTGCAGACTCACAACCGTTGTCTCACAACTGTTGTCTCCTCCAAGGGTCGCAGTTTGCATGCTAGATAAGGTTTGGGGCCTTGGGTTTGATCTTCTGAAGCTTTAGAAACGGTACACCAATACTCAGAGAGGTCAGGGGGCTTCCACACTTAGATTCCAGCAGCCGGGAGTGGCATTCGAACCCAGGACTTCAGGACCATCTCCTGCAACGCTGCTCTCCGAGGAGGAGGAATTAGAAGGCTGGGGACCCGAGCTCTTGTGCTGGCTTTCGCTTGCACGTAGGAAGACTAAAGGCTGGGTGCGAGCAGGCCTCAAGTCCTCTATGCCACCAGGGCGTGCAGGACGCAACTCCTTACTCAGAGCCCGCGGCGTGCGTGGGGACAGCGCTGCGGCGAGGCCCAAGTGTAGATTGAGTTCTAAGCCCACATCCCGGCCCAGTAGCCAGGCGAAGCTGTGCGGACGACTCGGCGCGGTTCAGCCCGGAGCTCCCGGGAGACGCAGCCTCGGGACCTCGGACGCCGGCCTCGCGCCGCAGCCGCGCCGCACTGCGCACGCGCGCCGCGCCGGCTCCGCCCCCGGGTAGGAACCTACAGCGGCGCGGCGGCTGAGGCGCGGTGCAGACGCCCTCGCGGGGACCGGGTCGGACCCGGACGGGTGAGTGCCCGCGGGGTGGGGTGGGGTAGGGTGGGGTGGGGCGGCGCAGTCTACACACGCCCGGCCGAGCGCGGGCTGCAGGATGCGGAGCCGCGCTGGGACGGCGGGCGGATTGCGGCGGGCCGGCCCCTCCCGCACCGTGC